CGGACCTCGGCGGACCGCAGCGCTTAGAGATCCAGCCCCCGTCCGCCCGCCGGCCCGTCGCGACCTCCAGGTGGGCGCGGCATGGCGGCCTCGGGGTCGAGCCCCGGCGGGGAGGAAGGCTGCGCCCGGACTCCGCTGACAGCTGCCTGTTTACGTCTGTGCGCTGTCTCTGTCACCTGTTGTCACCTGCCCTTTTTGCCTCTCAACTCCGCCTCTGTCAACTTTGTGTTTCTCTCCACTTTGTCACTCTCGAGCCCACCTCTGCGTGGCTGAACCCTGTTTTTATTTCTGCCTCAGCCTAGCTCCTGTGTCTCTTGACCCTGTGTTTCCCTCGTCGTCCTTATTCTCATTCATGGCCTGCCTGTAGGTCCAGCTCTTTGGCCACCCGTGTTTCTGTGACTCTGCCGGTTCTGTCTGTCTCTGTGGTTTTTGCCTCCCCTAACTGGGTTTGTCTGGGCGGGGTTGGCAGGCCTGCCCGCCCAGACCTCTGAGCCATGAAAGGTGACTCATGACCCCTTGAAGCTTCCTGCGCTGGTGACACTCTCAGCGACTAGACCGCAGGCTGGCCTCAGCTCTGACAGGTGTCCGCCCGAGCTAAGTGTGAGGGTACAGGAGCCCTCGCGGGCAGACAGCAGCCATCTCAGAGCCCAAGTAACATAATGAACCCTTGACTTTTCTTACCCATGGATTTTCAGGCCTGCACAGATTTCTACTTTCTTTTGCTCCATCCACTTACTCCAGAATGGCCTCCAGGGCTCTCAACAGCTGCTTAACCAGGCCTGGCTACAGCCTAACAAAGGGTCAGTCTGAGGTCCTCTGCCCTTGAGGCTCAGAGAACAGTAGCAGGATTTCTGGGAGAGCTGTATCCTTTATTCAGAGATTGTCAGTATGTACAGTTAAATTATGAGAAAGCTAATAATTTGGGGTTCAGTCTTTGCTTTACAGAAGTACTCACTGGAGAAATAAGCCAGATACAAAAGAACAAATATTGTATGAGTCTGCTTATATGAGATATCTAAAATAGGCAAATTCATAGAGAAAGAAGGTACAATGTAGTTTACCAGGGAGTGGGGGAGGAGGGCATGAAGGAGAGTTATTGTTTAATTGGATACACAGTTTTAGTTTGGGTTGATACATTCTGGAAATGGGTAGTGGTGATGGTTGTACAACATTGTGAATGTACTAAATGCAAGGAATTGTGTACTTTAAAATGGTAACTTTTATGTTAAGTATGTTTTACCACAATGCTAAAAAATTGCTCATTGGAGACATCCGGAATTAACAAACTCTTTGAAAATGTAATTTTAAAAATTCACTCTGTAGCTTTTAGGAATAGTATTTAGTTGAACCTACACTTATTGGTACCTTCTCTCCTCATAGCCAAGGTCCTTGGGTGTTTGGTTAAAAGAATTTGGTTAGAATCTTCCTCAAGTTTTCTACTTATAGTAGGTTGCCGCCCTGGCTCTCCCCTCTGTATTCCTTGGATTCAATGCAGGAATCTGCTGCATAAATAGGAAATTTGAGGAAGATTTTGCTTTTAACATGAAGAAAACTCATAGGGTAGGAAAAATAGTTCTTATAATAATGCAAAAGTATGTGTTATTTCTTATGTATATTCTGATGGAGGAGGCCTTTTTTTATGCTCTCTTATTTAAGCTATCAGTTTGCCTGTAAGATAGTTCAAACTTTCTTACAAGATGTAGCAGCTGAATTACTACCGTGTTGAATCCTAGATATGATCAATTATTTTATGTACCAACAAAGGAAGAGAAAACGCTGCTAATTAAGCTATGACATATGCTTTCTTATCATTTAGGCTTTTAAAAATTCTTATTGGAAACATTTTTAGGCTTATTTAGACATTTAAAAATATATATATATCTTTATTGATTTCAGAGAGAGGAAGTGAGAGGGGGAGAGAGAGCCTCCCCTATGTGCCCTGACCAGAATCAAACCTGTGACCCTTCATTGCACGTGATGACACTCCAACCAACTGAGCACACCGACCAGGGCAATACTTTCTTTTTTTAAAAAAAAACAAAAAACTATTGAAGTATAGTTGGCATACAGTATTGTATTAGTTTCAGGTGTACAACAGTGACTCGACATTTATAGACCTTATGATGTGATCACCACCTAAGTCTAATGACTACCTGTCACCATGCAAAGTTATTACAATATTTTGACTGTGCTGTGTATCACATCTTTATGGCTGATTTATTTTAACCCGGCAACTCTCAGTTCTCTGCTTCTGTGAGTCTGTTTTTGTTTTGTTTTGTTTGTTCATTTGTTTTGGTTTAGATTCCACATGTAAGTGGAATCATACAGTATTTGTCTTTCTCTGTCAGACATCACTTAGCATAATACCCTCGAAGTGCGTCCATGTTGTCACAATCACAAGATTTCATTCTTTTTTATTTCCGAATAATATTCCATTGTGTACGTATACCTCCTCTTTATCTATTCATCTATTACCGGACACCTAGGTTGCTTCCGTAGCTTAGCTATTGTAAATAATACTGCAATAAGCATAAGGGTGCATAATACCTTTTTTTTTTTAATCTCAAATTGTTTACCACAATGGAATGTTTGCCCTGAAGTGTTAAAATAGTCAGCTGTGGCTTAAAGGGAGATATGAGTCAAACTTAATAAAGTAGGTAGCTTGTTTTTTAGAAACCCTAAAATAGATTTTACTAAGTTCTTTGGCTAGAATATTCCAGTTAGGAAAAAATATAGGGGTGCTGATTGACCGTGGTCTGGAGACCGAAAACATTTTCCAAAGGATGTTTTAATTCTGCAGAATTACATAGGCACTGACCACTGTTGGTTTTCTATGTTTGACAGATGTGCCATGGTATCGTAAGACGTTAACATTAAAGGAAATTGGATGAGGGGCATTTGGGAACTTGCAACATTCTTTACAACTTTTCTATAAAGCAGAAATTATCCCAAAATTAAAAGTTTATTTAAAAATAACAAAGACAAAAGCTAAGAAGGTACAGAATAGATGTTAATATAACCAAAAATACCAACCTTGATTAGTCTCTTCTGCTGCTCACCTACCTGTGTAGTATTTATTAGCAAGGCACATATACGCAGTGAGTAGTGCCAGCATCTTTTACGTTTTCAACACGATTTTTCCTTTCAGAAGTCAATGTGATTTTAATTTGAAGCAGAACTGAGAAATGGGTTCCTTTTCCTCATTCATTTATACTACTTTTTGATGGCCATGGTATAAGGAACTTTATCCCAGGAATACGACTTTGCATTAGGTAAGCTATATATAAACTTGTAAAAATACAATTTTAAAAATTATTTACTAGAGTGGTTTCTTTTTCAGCAAAAATATAATGTATTTATATTTAATTGCCTTGGGCCAGAATTTTCTTGTACTTCTCTTCTGAGGAGGCGATACTGTGCATAGAAGGCCAGTCACTGCCATACATGTTCTGATGGAGCATCTAACTTTAGAGAAATGTTTCTGCTAAGTGCCTTTTTTTTTTTAACTTAGAAAAATATTAGATTTGGAATTACACTTCTATTTGAATCCTGACATACCACTTCCTAAACAAGCGACCTTGGGCAGGTCTTTTAACCTTGCTGAGCTTCAGTTTACTCATCTTTAAAGTGAGTATGATGATACCTGGGTGTTGTGAGACCTGAGTTTCCATCGTCTGCTTTGTACACTGTAAAGCATTTGACTAAATGGTAGGCATAGTGTGTTGGTATTTTTGTACATTTGTGCCAGTCTGTAGATTTACTAAAGTAATATTTACTGTGTTTAAATGTGCTCTGTATAGTAAGCATGCAAATTACTATAAACTTCAGCCCCTATGCCCTCCGTCAGGGACTCCAGTTAGGCACCTTAAAGTTGTCCACCGTTCACGGCTCCTCTTTTCCGCCTTCTCTTTTTTCTCTCTCTCTCTGCTTTCAGTTGTATCTACTGCTGTGCTTTCAAGCTCACTAATCTTTTATTCTACCGTGTTAATTCTGGTGTTACTCCCATCCACTGTTTGTTGGTTTTGTTTTGTGATGTCTTAATTTGTAGAAGTTCAAGTTGGGTCTTTTTTCCCGTCTACCTAAGATGCTTAATTTTCCTCTGTTTTCTTGAACATGTGGCATATAGAATTTTCTACTAATTGCATAGATCTGTCATTCTAGGTCTGTTTCTATTGATCAATTTTTTCTCTCTCATTATAGGTACATTTTTCTGCTGTGTTTGCATGGATGGTGATTTTTTTTAATGGGTGCCAGACATGAATTTTACTTGTTGGGTTCTGGATATTTTTCTGTGATGTAAATATTCTCAGGCTTTGTTCTGGAACAGAATTAAGTTACTTGGAAATAGTTTTGTCCTTTGGGGGCTTGTTTTTAAGCTTTGTTTGGCGAGATCAGGACTGCGTTTTGTCTGGGGCTCATTTGTCCCCACTGTAAGACTCTTCTGAATACTGAAGGTTTTCCACTCAGGGACGTTTTCTTCTATCAAGTATTTTATCTGCTTATTCCTTCTACTCATTCACTTTGCTCTTTCTCTCAAAGTCAGTAATTAGCCATATGCTGTGGTGCTTTTATCTCTCGTCTCGTCTAGTATCTTCTCTCTGGCAGGTTTCATATTTTTCTCTTGAATTCTGATAGAAGTTCCCCAAAGCACCTTCCACATCATTGATACTATTTTCTGTAGTTGAAGTTCTGCTTCTTATCGCCCGTTTAAATTTCCGCTCTATTGGTTTCCTTACGTCTTTTCTTTAATTCAGCAAGCTTTTTTTTTTATATCAGTGCCATTTTTTCTCAGCGGCCTTATACTTCATTCATAGAGACCATATTTTCGTCAGTTGGAAAATTACAATTTAAAAATGCTATCTAAACTGTACCCTTTATTTATCCCTTGCTATTTTCTTCTTTTTTGTTATTGTAGAATCTATTTACAGATCCCATTTACTTAACAGAATAAAACCATGTTGATTGTATTCTGTTCATTAATTTTTTAGAGGGAAACATTCTGCTCAGGTCTGGAATTTTCTCCCCTTTGGGTGGATTGGTTTTGGTCCTTCACCGTATACTTGGATGCTGTCAGAATAAATTCTTCGCTCTCTTGCTGGTGAACAGCCTCTGAACCTTATTGACACCAGAGCTTAGCTTAAGGGAGTGGCTGGGCCCAGAGGCTGAGTCTTAGGGGCTTTCAGGAGAGCTTGAGCTCTGTGCACTTCCTTCTGTGTTTGGTGAAATAATTATACCAGGGGCCTACTTTACTGTCTTTGGCCTACCTGGCAAATGATGGGCTCTGCCTTTGCTTTCTTGCTGGGCTACTATCTCATATCAGGTTTTTATAAAAAGAAATCTCTAGTGAGGCAACCTTTGGAATCCCAGTGCAGCCACTTCGGAATGCTGCCAATCTGCAGAGCTTGTCCCATGGCCCACCCTTGCTTTTTAGTCACAGACCTTCCAAATGAACAGATACTAGTGGCCCTCGGGCACAGTTGCTGCTAATGTAACAGGATTGCCTGGTATAGCAGGCGGAGTTGCAGGGGCAATGTCTTCCCTTCAGTCTGGCCCCATCTTCACTATACCCTTAATTAAAGTTTGTGGCATATAGATAACTCTAGTCTCTAGTTCTAGGACTCAAGCCAGTGTTTCCGTATTTCTTGGATTATTTTGGTTAGGATGTGGTAAAAGGGAAGAATTATAGGCTGCCCTCAAGTCTCCCCCTTACCTTGGTGATGCCCAAATTTACGGTGACAAAATATGTAAGTGTAGATTATACTAGGTTCCCTCCCCTGACTTTCTCCTGAGTTTGTAATTCTCCTGTGGTGCTTTTTTTTCAGGCTTTGCCTTGAATACCGGGGTTGTACGCATGTGTTTTTAACCACCCTTACAGATTATAAACTCTGGACCGTGAGATGCCTTGATCATCTTGTAGAAATCCCTCACAGTACAGTATTGAAATCCCTTGCATACAGTATTTTATGTTGTTATTTTCAGTGAGTTAATTCATTACTTCTATTAAAGTATTTTAACTGAAACAGGAACTATACTATTAGTATAGATCACAATTGCCTGTAACTTTGTAATTATTGCTTATATAGCAGAAAAACCTTTAGAAGTTCAGGCTTTGCATGTTACTAAGATCAGGAATATATAGAAATGCCACACACCCAAAATAACGGACCAAGATCAGATACTTATTAAACTGCAGTTGACACAGTTAAAGTTATATGACTTTTTTCCAGTTGTTTTAATGGGTGTGTGTGGGGGGGGGGTGTATACATATATATATATAATCATTCAGTTTGCCATTTTGACCATTTTCAAGTGTACAGTTCAGTGGAATTAATTATACTTGTACAACCAGCACCACTTTCTATTTCCGAAACTTTTTCTCACCCCAAACAGAAACTACCCTTCAAGCAATAACTCTCCCGAGTCATGGTAACCTCTAATCTCTTTCTGTCTCTATGAGTTTGCCTATTCTAGATATTTCACATAAGCGGAATTATACAACATTTGTACTTTTGTGTCTGGCTTATTTAAGTTAATGTTTAGTACGATGTTTCATTTTTAGCATATTTTCAATGTTCATCCATGTTGTAGCGTTTATTAGAACTTCATTTTTGTATTCTATATATGTCTTGTAGATATAATTGATTTATAATATTGTTCAATAACTTTACTTAGAGACCTTCTGTCTGGTTTTTCTATTAAGTATTGAAAGTGAGGTGTTGACGTTTCCATCCATTATTATAGATCTATCTGTTTCTCTTTTCAATTCTGTCCATTTTTGCTTCATTATATTTTGCTTTATTATATTTCTCTTGTTAGGTGTATATGTATATGTGTGTGTTTATAATTGTTATATCTTCTTGATAGATTGAACCTTTCATCAATGTATAGTGTCCTTTTTTGTTCTTATAACCTTTGTGACTTAAACTCTGTTTTGTCTGATGGTAATACAGGGATGGGCAAAGGCAGGTTTACAGTTTGTATGGAAAATAATACAATAAGTAATAGATAATACAAGAATACACTCTGTGTCTTGTGTACTCACAACTGTAAATCTACTATTTGTGCCCACCCCAGCTCTCTTTGGTTACTCTTTGCATGGGATATTTTTTTCATTGTTTTACTTTCAACCTCTGTCACTTTATATCTGAAGTGAGTCTCTTATAGACAACATGTAAGCAAATTAAGTTTTTTAATCCATTCTGCCTATCTCTGCCTTTTAATTAGAGGAAGGATTTACTTCTGCCATTTAGCTGTTTGTTTTCTGAATATCATGTATGCTTTTTGTGCCTCAGTTCCTCTATCACTGTCTTTTAAAAATACTTGTTTTTTGAATTTATTTTTTGTGTTCCATGTTGACACCCTTCTTTTCTTTTCATGTGTATTTTAGTTATCTTCCTGGTAGTTACACTGAGGTTTACACTCAACATCTTAAACTTATAGCAGCCTAGTTTGACTGATTCTGAGTCAACACTCTGCTCCTGTACATCGTCATCCCTCCCCCTTCATATTGTCATTGTCACAGATTACATCTTAATGCATTGTGTGCCTATTAACATAGATTCACAGTTATTGTTTTATTCATTTGCCTTATAAGTCATATAGGGGGGGAAAGGAGTTATAAATCAAAAGCATAATAATATCAGTTTCTATATTTACCCATGTTGTTACCTTTTTCAGTAGTCTTTATTCCTTCATATAGCTTTGAATTACTGTCTAGTGTTCTTTTTTCTCATCCTCAAGGACCTCCCCTTTATCATTTCTTGTAGAGGAGATCTACTGGTAACAACACCCTTAAATTTTGTATATCTGGAAATGTCTTAATTTCTCCTTCATTCTTTTATAATTTTTATTGATTGATTGATTTTAGAGAAAGAGGAAGGGAGACAGAGAGAGAAACATCAATTTGTTGTTTCACTTATCTATGCATTCATTGGTTGATTCTTGTATGTACCCTGACTGGGGATCGAATCCACAACCTTGGTGTGTTGGGATGACACTCTAACCAACTGAGCTACCCAGCCAGGGCCTCTCCTTCATCCTTGAAAGGATAGTTTTGCCAGGTATAGAATTCTTGATTTACAGGTTTTTCTTCTTGCACTTTAAGTATCATACCACTGCCTTCTGGCCTCCATAGTTTCTGATGAGAAATTAGCTGTTAATCTTACTGAGAAGCCATTTTAGAAGATGAATTGCTTCTTTCTTGTGCTTTCAAGATTATCCCTTGTCTTTGGCATTCTACTACTTGATTTACAATGTGTCTCCTGTGGATCTC